CCTGTTTTATAACTCAACGCCAAAACGTATGCTGCGTGGCATCGCTGTCCTCACTCGTATTTGAAGACTTTAAATCGAGCGTAAGCCTGCTATTAGCGCACGCACATTGATACACGCCAAATTGAGGCTTCTGAAATTATTAAAAGTTATCAACAAGTCGTATTTGATTTTAAGGGTTTTCAGGATTCTTCAAAAATAATTATGACAAACCAACAATCTGCCCGTGTTATCTCATAACAAGTTGTTGTTTTAGTTCTAAAAAAATTGGGAATCTGACTGCCATTTTAGGCTGTAATCGAATGATAATCAAATGATAACAAAAACAAAAAAATTATTAAGTCTTTTTCCGAGTTCACAGTTTCATCTAAAAACAAACCAAATCTCATAGCATCCGGCCACGAATTTTAATTGAAGCATTCAAACAAATTTTCCAAAAACTGGTTTTGCTCAAAATAGCAAATACATGAACGTCGTGAATCTGCTGTCACAGAAAAAAAACGAAATATTCGAGACGCACGGAGAGCACAATCAGGACATTTCAGAAAGAAATTTAGATGCTCGAAAGTTCATTAGGAATATAACCGAACTCAGCCAGAAATTTACACCGATTCATGTAGATGCCAGTGCGGTTTGGTCAGTAGCAAATGGAATGTCTACTGAATTTGCCTTCCCAACTACGCATGAACTAGTGCAAACGGCTGCACGCTCACGAAGGCAGCTAAAATTAATTAAGCCAACGGTTTCCATTGCGCAAAATCTGAGATTCTTGAAATTTTGAAAAAAAGACAGTGGATAAAATAATCACATGAATATTTTTAAAATTTTTGTGCGTTGATCCCGAAATGCAGAGAGTTTTGGAGAAAACATTTTTCTGGTTAGCCGATGGAACCTTAAAGATTACACCTAAAATTTCTCTCAGCTATTTTGAGCTCATGATAGTTAATCTGGTATTGCACCAGCTTGGATATATACCTTCTTTCCATACAAAGCCGGACAAAAATCTACAAATAATTGTTGCAAGCTTTTTTTGACAATGCACCAACCTGCCCCCATGAAAAGTTTTTGTTCAATTTAGAACAAGTTCCGGGGTGTTTATCGAGCAAATTTATCGATTTGTTTTTTTAATCGTTTCTCACCGAGTTACAGAAGAAAAATCAATGAAATGGGTCTCAAAAAAACCTTCAAAAATCACGACTTAGCGTTGGCTTTACAAATGCTGTCTTCCCTTGCATTTGAAAAAAAATGGCTGCTCCTATGATTTGATTGTTCACGAAATTCAGAATATTTGCGACAGAAAGTGTTTAGAACCCGATAATATTGAAAACATTTACAAGCTGTGTCTCTACTTTGGCTGGATATATCTAAAATTCATGGTGCCAAGCCTTGAAGTTGTACTCCCACCCTCTCTTGGACACCAGCAAGATGTGGCCATGAGTGGGGTTGCTAGGACCACAAATTGTGTCGAAGCATGGCATTTTGGTCACCAAGCTTCTTTTATTGGAGCTCCCCCTTTTATAAGGATTAAAATGGACAGCTCATAGAAAAACGCTTCCATACAAAAATTAAATATTTCGACGCATGGAGTGGCCACGAGTTCACGAAGAATAAAGAAACCCCGTTTTAAATGGAAGAGTCCAAAACATTATGTCTGTCTACGAAGACAAAACTGATCTGAACGTTTGGAGAACATTGTCTTGTTTGTGTTGAATCAGCGTAAAATTCTCTTATTTGAATCTTATTATTCAATCTTTGGTCCTTCTTAAGTTTTCGTCAATTTTTTTGAAAATCCGTTTTCTTTCAGACTCTGGGAAACCGTACTAAATGCAAGAAATTGACTCGTGCATCAGCAAAACAATCCCTGTCAATCGCCTTTTTCTTGGCATGCTAGGTCGGGACTAGAGGCTAGCTAACCATTTCGCTTAGTGGTCATGAGGCAACATTTTTGAAAAAAGCTCAACAAAGCGATGATGGGTTTATAAATCTCGTCGAGTTTAAACTCGAAAATAATATTACAGCTGAATGATTTCTATCTTTTTGGTTTCTGTGGATTTAAAAAAAAAAATTCTGTGTTGTTTTCAAATATCTGGAAATTTGCGCCATTCTAAACCAAGGAACGTCTAAAGAATTGAAAGCTAATTAATTTCTTTGAAAAATTGCTGGTTTTTTATGCATCATTTTAATAATCCGATTTATTGCCAAAATGTCTATTTTTCAAACTTACGCAAATAAGGAAGCGCTGATTTATATTTTGATTTTTAGCGAAGTCTCCCTTGAATTTCTTTTTGCTTTGGACTAAAACGGAGTTAGGTTAGACAAGTGGTTTTAAACTTTAGCAATTTTACATAACTTAGGTGACAAAAAGTGGGTGGTTTTAAGCTAAACAAAGTATTACCATAGAAACTGTTTGGTGTTAGGTTGTTTAATTTTAAAGAGGCTTTTTTGAAAGTCGGAACAAAAAATTTTTTAAGATTAATATTTTAGTTGTTCCGACTTGGAAAGAAAGTGACGGAAAAATTGTGCCAAATCGTTTTGTTCTCAAGAAAAAATCAACAGGCAACTTGATTTTTTATTCATCCAAGGAGAGCTGTTCTCCTGAACTGAAATCTAATTATTTTTTTTTACCAGGGATAATTGTTCGTAAAATTATTGGTGTTCAAATATTATCTATTTTGAGGCAAACAACCCGCGAAGTGTTTTGTGGTAATAACAGGTATAAGAAGGTTTATTTTGCCTTCAAATTTTTTTCTTAATTGAATTGAAGCATGCTATCTGGTTATTTAATACTTTTTTATTTGCAAAAATTATCACTTTGCATTTTACATAGCGTGTGGGGTTATAATTTAAAAATCTCTAAGTTTTTGGGAAAACTTTATCCGTTTTTATAAGTCAGCACTACTCATAGACCTTAAAAAACTGGTCGAAGTTTTCAGGGCTTCGCACTGATGCAACCAATTCTGTTCAAAATTTCAAATTGTTCAACTTGTGTGGTATTTTCATAATAGAAGTTTGCTGAATCGACTTATGGAGTTGCGAAATCCCTCAACGAAGTTTTCTCGCCAAATTTTTCCTAGTGGGTTTTCGCCAGTATATTCCCAAAATTTCAATTCATTCAATAGCACGAGCATATGTGTCACAATTTATTTTTGTTCCAATTTTCAAAGAAAGCGCGGAATAATTATGCTTGCGTGTTTTTTATTCATTTAATTTTTGATTTTTATCTATACGTTTTTGATAGAAATTCTCATGTCATCTGGAAATTGTTGTTGTCTGGCGCCAAAATTTTAAAATATATATATATATATATATATATATTCAACGTGTGATTTTTTCTTCGCAAAGGTACAGGGGTCAAAAAATCACTGATGGGGCGAAGTTGCGATAATTAACGCGCGATATATTGCGTTTTAACGACACGCGTAAGTGGCAGATTGATGTCTTCCATATTGAACTGAGGCCAGCAATTTACTTTTTTCGAATCAAAATACAACTCTAAGTACTCTCTTTGTTTTTTAAATAGCGTGGGGCCAAGCTGAAGTGTTTTTCAATGGTTTTGCCAATTATTCCAATAAAAAAGTTGTTATTGGCCTCAAAGTGTAGTCAAAATAGCTTTGCCTTGATATACGAGCAGACTTTTTATTCTGACTTTATAACTAAAGTAACGGATTGTTTGTGCTCGGTGTGGTTTTTGTTACTTCAGACAATCTTCGACATTTCAATTTACCAATTTTTACACAATTTTTTATATCATTCGAAAGCTATCTTTGTCCTGAGCTCAAACATAAAAAAAATATTTCATCTGTGATCATTTTTCACAAAGTTATGGGGGTTTAAGGATTGCCATTTTGGTCAATTTGTTACATTTAACGCGCGTTATGTTTCGCGCTAGTAACGCGTAAGCGGAGGTTCAATCCGTCTTAGAAATCGTTCCAAAATGGTTGGAGGAAGCTTGTTTATCATAATTGATTAGTTACCAGGAGCAAAAATATCACTTTGTACTTTAAATGGCGCGTGAAGGGATGATTTTCACAAATATATCATACTTTAAAAAAATGTTTCTTTTTCTTTATTTAATTTTTTCATGTTATTATTGCTCTATAGAGCTTAAAAGGCAGTTGGAACATTCAGGGCTTTGCTCTGATGCAAGCAGTCTTGTTGCGTTTTCAAATTATTTTGAATGATCGATTTTGAATGCAATTTTCTTCAAAATTGTGGACATCTATTTTCCGTCCGGTTCATTCCATGCTCTTGAATCGTTCTCCGACCATTCAGTTCCATTAGAGAGTTTTTTTGCCCACTAGAGAATTCGGTTTATCCATGGACCGTTGTTTGGACAAGTCAACTTTGGATCTTTTCCTTACAATTTTGTTTATTGCCAAATTTGTTCTGATGAGAACAGTTCACCTTCGAATATATATTTTTTAAAATCTTCAAAAAGATGTTCTTAAAAATTTAAAATCGGCCGTGTAAGTGTTTTAAAACTGCTATTGATAATATAATCTGATTCATTACTACCACAGCTGTTTTATCCCTGGCTTAGCGCATTTTAGCGCTGAAAAATCATCAATTTTTAGCTTGGAAATCTAGTTAAAACACATCTTTTTGCAACGTATTTATATTTATATAAAATTCAATCACGCTCAACTTTTTATGGCCTCTTAATGTTTCAGACTTTCGCACATTTTAGCTAACGGATTTCAGAGATCAGAAACTTTTCTGCACATGATCATAGGCTTCAACTATTGGTTCTGTTGATTCCTTGATGATCTTAAAATTAGTTTTTTTTTGTTATCTCTAATAACACTGAACTGGATACTTAATCTAACTGCTGGTATAGATTTTTCAAGGTGGCTCGTTTCGAGTTAGGAGGCTTCCAGCGACTATTTTTACGCAAAAGATTAGTTCTACATTTCACCAAAACAACACAAGAAAGCAACTCAAGTGACTCGAAAACATATATCATTTTTTAGACATGCATCATAAGTGTTTTTTATTTGTTTCAGACACATCTACCTGATCATGACCCTAATCACGGGGGGTGAGTTGTTCGACCGCATCCTCGAAGTGGGCTACTACAGTGAGAAGAGTGCGGCTGCACTGGTGCAACAGATACTGTCTGCAGTGGACTATCTGCACCAGAGACAGATAGTGCACAGGGATCTGAAGCCAGAGAACCTACTCATGTTGGACACCAGTCCACACTCACCTGTCATCATCAGGTAGTCAGATCATGTGATGAGTGTGAAGTGTATAGCCGTAAAAGCCGAAATATAAATAACCTAGCCGAAGTATAAACCAGCCGAAAATGCACAGAGTATGCAAATGCGCGGAGCAGAGAAAGTTACGTCACAGAATATAAACCAGCCAAAAGTTACGTCATTTGAACATGTGCAAATTGCAGAAACCAGAATTATGATTATAACAAGCTATCTAAGTAAGTGATTTTTGTTTAGTGATTTCGGTTTATCTGCCTACGTCACAGACGAGAACCAGATGAGGCAGTCATGTGGCACTCCTGGCTACGTAGCTCCAGAGATCCTCTTGAAGAGACATCCTTACAACGAGAAAATAGACTGCTGGAGTACAGGCGTCATAGTTTACATTCTGCTCTGTGGCTACCCTCCCTTCTATGGCGACAATGACAATCAGATCTATGATATGATCAAGACCGGCGACTTTGAGTTCGACTCCCCATCCTGGGACTGCATCTCCTCAAGTGCTAAACAGTTCATCAACTGTCTCATCGAAGTCAACCCCCTTAAAAGGTAAGGGCCCAAAAATTGCTTGTATAAAATTACAGCGAACTCTGAACTGGGATAGACCCCATGAGCAACACCTGTGAATCCTACACAAAAACAAAAACATTAAAATGTTGTATTTTGCTTAAATAATCAATGATGTTTTTCAACATTAAAAGTTAAGATTTTTATTTGTGTCTGTAACAAAAGGAGAACAGTCAGAGCTTTCTGTGCTCCTCAATGAGTCATCCATTATTCTGGTTTGTTTTGAATTGTTTCAATGTTCTTTGCAGGTTCTCCACGCAACAGGCATTACATCACGACTGGATCTTGAGTGAGACCAGACCGGAAGTGGACATTTCCACTCAAGTGAAGGAGAAGCTGAAGACGTTCCTGGCCAAGACCAGGTGGAAGAAGGCTTTCAACGCACAGAAGGCCATACACAGGTACTTCACTGATATTATTGTCAAATATTCATGACAATTTTTTAAACTATAACAAGTTGCAAGTAGTTTGCCCAGTCATAATTATAGTATAAAGGGAAAGCTTACAACTTTGACAAAATGTTGCATTAAGTTTTTTAAATTAGGACCATTTATCCACGGGGGAAAGGACCAACACAAGAGCTGTACAGCTCATCACGGCGAACAGCTGTTGTGCCCCTGTTTAAGAACTACATGCAATTTTTTTGGTTATTTTTCTGGGCTGGGTAATGTTGCTTCACCCTCAAGCAACGAGCACGGATCATGGTGGGTCTCGAACATCCGACCTTTCGATTGAGAGGCGGAGACGTAACCACTTCACCACCGCTCCCCGACAAGTTTCGACATTTTAGACACCTTTCAGACATGAATAATGTCTGAAGAAGTAGCTTTCGCATGAAACATTTCACCAAACTTTAATAATTGTGTCAAACCGAATTTATGGTACTTCATGTTCCGACCATTGAAAATGGGGGGAACTTTATATACAGGTGTTTTAATTTTTTTTCCAACGCAAAATCAGGTACGACACATAATCATCGGGCTGGTTTGAGTGATATATCACATTGAAGCCCTTTCAGTCTTGATTCGAAGGACATAAAAAATGTTCAAGAAAAATTCCCAGTTTTGATAGAAACCGGTTTGAAACCTTTGATTTTTCGTCGTTTTTTCGAGCGAGTAGAGCGATCGAGTAATATTCGTTATGTATGAAAATTACCACTTCAGGCTGGAACCTAATAACGTTACTAGAAGCAAATGTAGTTTTGGATGCCCATATAGCGCTTCATTGGCACAAAAAAATCTTTAGACAATTTATGAAATGTTTGTAAACAAAAATTGAAAAAATTAAAAAAAAAACTAAATTTGTTATAAAAAAATTTCATCTTTTTTTTCATTAGTTTTTTTTTAAGTCAATTGTAGTCGTTTTCACCTACTCCACTCAATTTTGATGCATTTGTTTAGCCTTATCATCACGCGACGTAAAAGAAAAGACACTAACTTGAAAAAAACTCTGTTGATTTGGTCGGAACATTCAGTGCTACTTGCACAGTAACCGGTTGTCCTTGCTATCACAGGCCCTAGTTTTTCTTAATTGTCACGTTCCATTGGTTGTAATTATCCATCAGTTTTCTTAAAACTAATTGGCGAGGTAATGAGTTTTAATTTATTTCATTTTTCTTTTACTCAAGAAGTCTTCACAAGAATTAGCGTATGGTTTTCATTTTGGTATCTACTTTTGTGACAAACTAGCGAACAGTTCGGCTTGCGCTAATGTCAATGTTTGCATGGCTTTGCAATAAACTTAATTGCAATCCGAGTAGCAATAGTTTAACTCAAAAATACAAGTTCGGATGAAACTTTTCCAAAAAATTGTTCATCGGAAAACTACACTCAAATTATCAATTTTTTCAGTAGCAGATTTAGGGAAGGGGCGGGGCGGACGTTTATCTTCAAAGATTTGACCCCCTGCCGACCCAAAGGGTCCTCCTTTTGTACTTTTTGAGATATCCTTTTGTGGCTGACTGACCCTAAAATGTTTCTAAAGGCGCCTTCGGCGCCAATATATACTTATTTTGAGGGGCGAGCGCGCGAGAAAACGCTTTTTGGTCAAAAAATTCCAAAAAATGTCTAAAATGCCTTTTAGGCGTGTTTTTCAAAATTTTGGTGTGTTAATCAAAATGCAGTAAAATCACGTCTCGCCAGAATGCCTTTATGGAGCAGTAATAACCTAACGCCAGATAAAGTACAAAAGGATAGACTTCGCTCATTTTAGCAAATTAATTATGGCAAATAAGCTTCTTTCAACCACCAACTTGGAACGATTTCTAATACGGATTAAATCGCCGCTGACGCGTTAATAGCACAAAATATATCGCGCGTAAATTGTCCCAAACTGGCCAAAATAGCAATCATTAAACCCCCGTAATTTTAAAAAAAATGATCACAGGTGAAATATCTTTTCAAATTTGAGCTCAGAACAACAATACCTTTCGGATGATATTTAAAATTCCGACAAAAATGGCTAGTTAAAAAGTCGAAATTTGTCCGAAGAAAAAAAAACCCACCCCGAGCACAATTATGCCGTTACTTTCGTATCGAAAGTCGGAACAATAATGATGTCAAAAGGAGCAGTTCTTCAATTAGTTTCTTTCCTTTGTTTCGTTCAAATTTGATGGCAAAAGTTTTTTTTCAGTGATGGGCTTTTAAAAGCGGCATTAAGATTAGAGAGGTTTTTGACGATGGTTTTACGTGCTGAGCTTCATTGAAGACACCAAAATAAGCAGTTGTTTATTTAATTGGTTTCGTTCATACTCAATGGCAAAAACTATTTTGTCAGTGATGAGCAATTAAAAGCGGCCATTCAAGTAGTTTAAACTGCTGGTATAAGTTTCAGTTTTAAAATGAAATGCAAAATTGATACGCAAAAAAATGTAAATGCTTCTGAAATCTATCAAAACAAAAAAAACTCTCAAGATTGGCGTTCAAAATTTTGCAAGCCATAGCAATAACTGCAGCCATCAAAAAATTTCCCCTAATTCCTATTCTAAACCTCAAGCAAAGACGAAATTAAATTTATTAGAAAATTGAAAAGACGCTGAATAGTTCTCCAAATTGTAAATTTTCAGTTTTTCTGGAGAACTTTTTTTGTTTTCGGCACTCTTGAACTCTCCTTTTACATGTACTAAGCTTTCAGTAAATAGTTAGACCTATCACATAACATTTTATTAACAGGATGCAGATGCTCACTGGGTCTCCGAGTGCGGACGAGAACGGGGCTGCTGGCACCGGGAGAGCCGGCAACAGCGGGAATAAAGGGGATGAGGGGTCAGAAGGGTCTTCCACTGAATGAACTGATATTGTTTCTCAAATTAACTGTGCTTATTAAGTTCATGCAAAGGTCACCTTTGGTCAATCGGTATAACAATCTTCGATTTGCCTCAAAAGCGCAGTCTCAACTTGCGTTCAATGAACCATTTATTACGTTTTTTTAGCCTTTTCAATTTATTCGGTTTTTTGTCTTGCAAACACGCAGGGAAAATAAATGAAATTTGGCGCTTTTTCATTCTCATTTTAATGCCTTGTCTTTTGTGTGAACTTGACCAAAGACCACAATAGCAACGATTTAGAAAAATGAACTAGAAATAGCTTTTTCTTTTAGCAAAAAAGCAATGACGTGTTTTATTGAAAATTTTATCAGCACAATTTATCGCCGACTGAAAAAGAACAATTTGACTCAGTTTGACTCTCCATTAAACAATCCTGAATCGATTGACCTTAGAATGCGTAAATCCTTAAATTACATTTCATTATTTGTACAATTGAATAGTTTTATCTACCTACCTATCTGCTGCATTGCAATTCGTAAAGAAAAATAGTCCATTGTATGTACGTTTGAGTGAAAAAATTTAATGAATTCGATGAAAAACTACTGAAAATTGGTTTGATTTCTTTCGCAGTTTTAGCTGCAATCTTTTTCCTGTTTGAAGAGTTTTTTCTATCAATTGGCGCTCACAAAAAACGGTTATATTCACTGTGCTTTTGTCAGTGAAAGTAGGATTTGTTTGCATTGCCACTCGATTAATCTTCTCAGGGGAGCAGGAAACGTTTAATGAATGGGTATTTTTTTGTCTCAAGCAGAAAAAAAGCCAATCGATCGGCATAAATTACATATCGCTGACATTTTGCGTAGTTATAATAGCCTGCACAAGACATTTGTTGGTTCAATTTTAGTTTCTGATGGCAAAACTTCAGGAGGTCTTTTGAAAATACAGTAATTGGCGTAGGCGGCCTCTTTTCCATCAAACTAATGCAACCAAAACACAAAAGACAATAAATGACCTTTCAAATTCGACTTTCAATGGTTCTCAAATCAACTCAATTCCACCATAGTCATCAATCTTCCCTTTTTCTCTGCGCAGAGATAGTTTGATGAGTTGTCAGAATGGCTTAAGAGTAAACAATAGCAACCAACAATGACAAGCAAAAAATTTTGTAGGATGACATTTCAGTCCATGTAGGTTTCCACCTTTTTCAATCTGAAAATTTACTTATATTTTTCCTTTTTCAGTAAATTCAGACGATAAAGCCGCGCAAAATCCGCTATCAATTTGCATAAGCTGCAAATTTTCGCTATTCTATGATACAACGTAAGCTTAGCAAATCGATAACAGTGTTTCTAGAGTTTTTATAAAAAGTAATAAAAATTCAAGGTTTAGCTGTGGCAAAAATAGCTGTACCCCAAAACATTTTTTGAAAAGGAAAATTCAGTACGCAATTTTTGATTTTGGTTCCAAACTTCGAAGAAGGTGTGAAACATGCATGTGTAGGGGCAGTAGCGGATCTAGGATTTTCTAGAGGGGGGTGGATTTTAAAAAAAAATTCGAAAATTTTGTCGACCTTTTTTATGTCGACCAAAATTTTTTACTGAGATCCCTCAATTTAGAATAAAGATTTCGTTTTTGACCATACTTTTTTGCGCCGTAGGAAGAAATTTGAAAAAACAGGCCAAAAAAGGTGTTGCTAGGCACTTTTTGGAAACTTTTGACAAAAAAATTGCATTTTTTTGGTGCGCGCTCCTCAAAGTTGGTATATATTGGCGCCAAATGCACCTTTGTAAAAACTTTAGGGTCGGCAGTGGTCGAATTTCTGAAAAAACGGCGTCCTCAATTTTCTTTTGGGATGCCTTCTCTTCAGGAATTTGACCCCTGCCGACCCTAAAGTTATTACAAAGGTGCCTTTGGCGCCAATATATACTAATTTGACGCCTTTGGCGACATTATATGCTAATCGCGAGCACGCGCCAGAAAATTTTCCAAAAAGTGCCTTAGAAACATCTTTTTTGGCCTGTTTTTTCAAATTTCTTCCTCGGCGCAGAGAATTCTTCGCGGCTCACGAGAAAGCTGAGTTTCCTAGACTTATTGAGACCTACAGGCAATGGTTTGCATAAAAACACTCACTATAAACCAACAAAATGAAGATCACGACCACGTTCCCAATGAAAGTCAAGCCAAAATCCTAGATGACTTCCAGATCCACCATTAAATAGAATCAGCTTACATCATATGCTCTATGAAAGAAAAGGAAAAAAAAATGAGAAAAATAATGAAATAAATAAACTTTCACAAATCGAGCTAGTAAAGTCAATCAATTACAATACCCCTACTTATCGCAACGGAAAAAAAATCATATGTTACTCCGCAAAAAACTTAAATTAGAGCCTAAATAAATGATTCCCCCTCCCCTCACCAACCTGCATATTTTTTCAAGTAAAAATTTGTTCACATGTTTCGACGGGAATGAAAACTGACATACGGACTTGGTAGGCAAAGACGAACACCTTTGGTCCTTAAAAGGAACCTTGCAAAACTATACGTTACGCCCTTGCATTATGCTCGTCTGAGGTGGGGGAAGGAAATAGAGCAGAATAATTTTTAAAGACCTCCTGTAAAAAAAAATAATCGCGACCTATTAAAATACCTTAACTACGTTCATCGACTCTTAAAAAAACTGGCTATATATCGGATTGAAACGTTTGATTTTTCGCGATATAACCGCGCTCTTAAACATCACACTGCTTGGCCCAAATTTTCATGAAAATAAACTTCACTAATAAAGCAAGCTATCAAAAGATTCAACTGATTCTGTTAAACTAGTTGCTATCACAAAAAATTCTATATTCCAGTTTGATAACCCTGGCTAATCGCAAGCATAAAAAACATCGCTATTTGAGAAACAAAGGTTCAGATGCAACTTGACAAATTGGATAGTGAAAGGCCAAGTTATGTTTGAATTAATTTTCTTTGTTAAAAAATTCGAGAAACACGCTGTGTTGAAAAACTTCTGCTAAAGAGTCTTTATTATTGTAATCTCGTATGAAGCTAACAGATTCGGTTGATTTGATGAACTAACACTGACGCAAAGTTGCGCTTTCAAAACACAGTGGAGAAAAAATCAGTTCTAAAAAACGACAACCAAATCTAAAAAGTGAATTAAAAAAAAGATTTAAGCCTCGAATTAGTAAAACACGAGCATTAAACAGTTTGAACGTTTATACTACAAGCAGCTTGATTTGTTTGAAACAAAAAAAGCCAACTTACAGTTAGAAAAAAGTAATGAACGCATGGAAACAAAAAAAACTGACTTGGTTTTCGTAAAAAAAAAAATCATATTTCGAATTTCAAAAAAAATAGTATATGCCCTTAAAACTTTTTGAATTATGATTGGTGCTTTGACCATGGCCTGTCTACAGAAGCAGTAGATGCTAATTATCACTCCTGAAACACAAAATTGAGCTGAACAGCTAATCTTTACGATTAAATTATGAGCCGAAGATGCAAAATTATTCGAACACGCACGAAGAGCTCAGAAGGGCAGACAGAAGTTGAGAATTTCTTAAATTAGTGTGCGGAGAATAAAATAAGCTTGTAAGTTAGTTTAAAAAACGCATCAGAATAGGTGTCCTCTCGAAATTTTGATGGGTGCAACGCTTTTAAGAGTCACCAATTAACATCTTCTCGAAAAGCCATCAACAAGAAACAAGCTACTCGTTTTGATTTTTTCCTCATTAAAAGAGATAGTGGGTTAATTATCTATGGACCAGCGAAACTCTGAGCGTCAAAAAAATATCTTAGATATCTGAGGGTCAAAGCAAAAATTTAATTCTCTGTGTTAATTCAAAC